TATTATATGTATACTTTTAGGTTACAGGTACCTAAACTAATTTCAGCAATAAAAAGTTTAGGAATTGATAAGGAACATAATTTTATTATCCGTCGAAAGTTGACTGGATTTTTAGCGTACGCGGTATGGAAATGGTTAGGGTAACTTTAACCTAATTTCCACCACTTTTCTTTTCTTTTAACATATGTACACTTTAAGGTTACGTGTACCTCTACTAATTTCAGCAATAAAAGGTATGGGAATTGATAAGGAAGATTATTTTATTACCCGTCGAAAGTTGAGTGAGTTCTACAGATTGAGTGGTAAGTAAATGGTTAGGGGAACTTTAACCTATTTTCCACCACTTTTATTTTCTTTTAACATATGTCCACTTTAAGGTTACATGTACCTCTACTAATTTCAGTAATAAAAAGTTTGGGAATTAATTAGGAACATAATTTTATTATCCGTCGAAAGTTGAGTGAGTTCTACAGTTTGAATGGTAAGTAAATGGTTAGGGGAACTTTAACCTATTTTCCACCACTTTTATTTTGTTATAACATATGTACACGTTTAGATTACATGTAACTCAACTAATTTCAGCAATAAAAAGTTTGGGAATTGATAAGGAACATAATTTTATTATCCGTTGAAAGTTGACTAGATTTTTCAGCGTACGTGGTATGGAAATGGTTAGGGTAACTTTAACCTATTTTCCACCACTTTTATTTTGTTATAACATATGTACACTTTAAGGTTTCATGTACCTCTACTATTCAGCAATAAAAAGTTTGGGAATTGATAAGGAACATAATTTTATTACCCGTCGAAAGTTGAGTGAGTTCTACAGATTGAGTGGTAAGTAAATGGTTAGGGGAACTTTAACCTATTTTCCACCACTTTTATTTTCTTTAAACATATGTCCACTTTTAGGTTACATGTACCTCTACTTATTTCAGCAATAAAAAGTTTGGGAATTGATAAGGAACATCATTTTATTATCCGTCGAAAGTTGACTGGATTTTTCAGCGTACGCGGTATGGAAATGATTAGGTGGACTTTAACCTATTTTCCACCACTTTTATTTTATTTTAACATATGTCCACTTTAAGGTTACATGTACCTCTACTAATATCAGCAATAAAAAATTTGGGAATTGATAAGGAACATAATTTTATTACCCGTCGAAAGTTGACTGGATTTTTCAGCGTACGCTGTATGGAAATGGTTAGGGGAACTTTAACCTATTTTCCACCACTTTTATTTTGTTATAACATATGTACACTTTTAGGTTACATGTACCTTTACTAATTTCAGCAATAAAAGGTTTGGGAATTGATAAGGAACATAATTTTATTATCCGTCGAAAGTTGACTAGATTTTGCAGCGTACGTGGTATGGAAATGGTTAGGGGAACTTTAACCTATTTTCCACCACTTTTATTTTCTTTTAACATATGTCCACTTTTAGGTTACATGTACCTCTACTTATTTCAGCAATAAAAAGTTTGGGAATTGATAAGGAACATAATTTTATTATCCGTCGAAAGTTGACTGGATTTTTCAGCGTACGCGGTATGGAAATGATTAGGTGGACTTTAACCTATTTTCCACCACTTTTATTTTATTTTAACATATCATATGCATAAACTTGCATTTATCTTTGTTCAATTGGAATCCGAACTCTTTAATTTTATTGAAAGTATTCTCTAGATTTTTGTAGTGTTCTTCATCATTGTGCCCTGTAACAATTATATCATCTAGATAGTTTGCTACGCCTGGCAACCCATTCAACATGTTGTACATAACTTTAGAAAATATAGCTGGAGCGGATGCGATTCCAAAACAAAGTCGCTTGTATCTGTAAAGTCCTTTGATGGTATTAATCACTAGTAAGTCTTGCGAATCTCTATCTACTGGTATTGACAAGTAGGCATCAGATAAATCTATGACTGAGAATTTTTCTCCTCCATTCAACTTAGCAAATATTTCCTCAGGTGTAGGTAGAGGAAATTTCTGAATCTTTAAAGCCTGATTCAATCCTGTTGAAAAATCTGCACAAATTCTTATTTGACCAGAAGGTTTTTTAACAACTACACAAGGTGCAGCCCAATCAGAATAGTCAATTGGTTCTATCAGATCAGCTTCTACAAGCCTGTCGATTTCCTCGCACACTTTGTCCTTTATTGCAAATGGAACTGGCCTTGCCTTCTTGTAAATAGGAGAAGCGTCTTCCTTTAAAATTAAGTGTGCCGTGAATTTTGTACAATGGCCACTTTTGTTACAAAAGAGTTCCTTATTAGAATCAATTAATTTACTTAAGCTCATTCTTGGAAGTGAACTTTGAAACCCTGACCTTGAAATGTCATCAACTTCCTTGGAAACCCATAAAGAATCACTTTGTAATGAATTAAGTGGCAATTCGTTGATTTTAAGCTCCTCGATCCAGTCTCTACCTAAAAGATCCTGAGTGCCACCTTCAGCAACGTACAGCTTTAGCTCTCTTTTAGTTTTCCTGAATGCCACTTTAACTGTTTGTTCACCAATCAAGTTTATGCAATGGCCACTATAAGATGTCAGTTTTGTATTTGAATGTAACAAAGGAAATTTTCCCAATCTTTCCCAAGTTCGTTGACATATAACAGAAACACAACTTCCTGTATCTAGTTGCATATTAATTAAAATACTATTGATACAGATAGAAACCCAAATTGGAGAAAATACACTGACGTTATGACACTGAAGACCAAGAGAAAAAATATCTTCATTTGTCAACTTAGGTGAACAATCAAGTATGTTAGAGTCGATAAAGGTCCTAGAATCTCTTCCTTTTTCATTGTCAGTGAAATTTACTTGTCGGTTGTACGTTCCTTTTCCATGTCCACCAATTTTTTTGTTTTGAAAATCTGTTCTCCTTTTAATTTTGCAAACTTTTGCTAAGTGACCTTTTGTATCACAATTATTACATATTGCATTTCTAAATCTACATTGGTTCCTAAAATGGTTACCACCACAAGAATAGCATAAATAGTTTGAATTTGTATTTAGAACCTCTCCATTGCTCTCATTATCGGAAAATGAAATCAGATTTTTCTTTGCTGAAGTAGTAAAAACTGAACTTAATGTTCTAGCAAATTCAAGTACAGTATTGAAATCTGTGTAATCTTTCTGAAGTAAATTAGCTCTAATAGAATCTTCATTAATACCCATTATGAAGGATGTAATGAGAGCATCTTGATAAAAGTCACCAGGGAAATCACAACTGCTGGCTAATTCTTTTAAGTTACTTGCAAAGGTGGACAAAGATTCAACACATTGCTTTAGTGAAAAGAATTTTACTCTTTCGGCAACTTTAAACTTTACTGGTTTGAAATGTTTTACCAGAAGTTCATAAAGTTGTTCATAAGTGAATTCACTAATTTCTTTTGGCTTGCAAATAGTTACCAATGTTTTAAGAACTGTACTATCTAGGCAGTCAATGAATAAACATCTTTTAATATCATCATTTGTAATATTGCCCAAACATAAATTTGCCTTGAATTTAATATTCCAAACATCAATGTCGCATGAATTAGGGTTAAATTTTTCACATCTAGGTTGACTTACCAGCATAGGATTATTAAGAGTTGCTGGTAATGTATCTTCAGACATTATAATGAATTAGACTGTGGAATTGAATAAACTATCTTGCACTCTAAGTTTTCCATAAAATCATCCTCGTCGCCAGTTTTATGTTTGAAGTAAATACATAAATTGATAGGTAAATTAGTTTAATAAAATAGAACTGAACTTATTCATGAGTCAAAAACTAGAAAACAAAAACAATAATAAAAACAAGTTAAAAGCAACGATATAAACAACTCATGGATCGCTGGCTCAGTGTTGGCCGCGCGGTCGAGCTTCCCCCACCATCTACTGGCAGAAGCCGACGCAGCCCATACATTCACCATTATAAAACACACTTTTTATTTGCTGCACTGTTGAAATTTATAGGGATAAAATATTGCTAACGCTTGTCAAACTCTTTTTACTAGTTAAACCTTTTATGTCTGTTTTGTTTCTTGCAGAAAATAACCCATTTGAATTCTTTAAAACTACAAATTCACTAAACCCGTTTTGTAGAGTTTTTTAGACAACTGATATTGCTAGTTCCAAATTGTACATGGTAAAATAATAAGTGATTACAAAGGAGAAATATAAAGTACAATATTTGTGTTTGAAATTCTATTTTATTAATCGAAAAACTATTACATAAACATTTAGAATAATTTTGCTAAGTTTTTGCCGCAGTGGTAACGTAAATGTTTGACGTAAACGCGATATTTTTTTCTTTCAATGTTTAATGACAATGTATCTTACAAAATAGGTCATAAAAAAGTATGCCTATCACGTTAGTGTCAAGCATAGATTTGCGGTAAAAACTGGACAAATGTAGTAGGGTTTTTAAGAGTTCAAATGTGTTATTTTTTGCACGAAAAGAAGAAGACATAAAGATTAGAATAGTAAAAGTTTTTGGCATGTATTAGCAATATTTTATATCTATATATTTAAACAGAGCAGCAACATAAAAAGGCGCGTTTTACAATGGTAAGTGTATGGGCTGCGTCGGCTACTGCCAGTAGATGGTGGGGGGGAGCTAGACCGAAAACAGCGCCCGCAGTGCTACTGAGAGCGCAATCCAGTAGTTTTTACATCGTTGGTTAAAAGTCAGCTGCAATTTAAACAATGTTAAAACATATCAATAAAACACCTTTTCAAGCAGCTCAAGTAAAAAATAAACACCTTAAAATCACAATGCACAGTTCGCAACTGCAACTGTTGAAACAACTATCTAAACAGGTCCAATAAAGATATACAGTGAAGCTATTACACAAATAGCTGTTATCCCAGGAACTGCTCCAAGGCCTTCTGTGCATGTGGAAGCTGAGGTGCTCGTGGGTACAGAACGTCGAGTGTCAGCAGCCACTAGCCAAGCCAGGCACGACACGATCCGGGGGGGGGGGGGATAGATAACAATAACATAACCTCTCTTGAGTTTGTACTGTGCACGAACGGAACTATTAGAATACTACAGTTAGAGTATTCGTGGTACTGTATATCAGATAATAAATAGATTCTATTATCTAGTGAGTGCGAGTGCGGACTTGGTTGAGTACCCTAGTCCCTAGTGCTTGTTAGGGTCCTTATGTGCCCTAGTGTTAGTGTTAGGTGGTTAGGTTCATGTAATACAAAAAAAAAAACTGCACTGTAGTGGGTAAAGTACTAAAGTAGTGTGAGCACGACAGTACGACGTACGCAACTCGCGTTAATAATAGAATAGACCTAGTCTTAATTTAACCTTAACGTCACTGTATAAACTACAATAAATCTACAGTAGGCTACTTAGGCTAAATGGCCTAAACGACTGCATACTGCTGGAAGAATATATTCTCCCCAAGAACCAGATTAATTTGTTTTATCAAATAATAAATTGCATAACATGGTAAGTTATGTAACCTAAATTGTAGTATAGGCTAAGTTTATTTATTTTATTTGTTGGCTAATCCCCTTTGGGGCTATGCTAATATCGATTGAAACTATCAAATTGAAAATATTAAATTGGTGTAAATAGGCTACCTGCTTCGAGTGTAGGAGTTTTGCCAACGGGTATCAGGTAGAAAGGGTCCCCACCCGTGAATTCCTCATACTGCAGAGTTTTGCCATCGGTTGTGGGTTGCGCGAGAGGGGGAGGGGGAGAGAGAGAGATTACACGTGACCGTGAGGGTGGCTTCCGCTAGGGGTGGACCAGGCAGGATGCTGACTGTGTTCAAAGTAATGCAGTTATGCACCTCTGACTGTGAAAGGAAATGTATTGAATTTTTAACCTAACCTAACGTAACCCACTGCAACAAGCGCATAACTGCTAAGCTTTGACAACCCTGACAATCGCTCTCCCTCCCTCCCTCACACTCTTTCTCCCACCGCCACCGTTGGCAAATCTCCGCAACAAGAGGTGGCCGAAGGCATCTCCCCCATCTACCTGACACCCGTTGGCAAAACTCCGATTCCAGCCTGCTTCGTGGTAATCCTATTGTTGCTAGTGTCGCAACTAGTTTAGACTTTCTACAAAGTCATCTTCTTCCTTGCATCCATCCCGGTCGTGTCACATCATTCCTTAACAGTTACCGTTGTTCGTTTAATCGTGTTAAATGTGCCGTTTTTATGTGTTAATGTCTGTGTTCGTGTTCATGTTTTTATGTACTTTACGTGTAATGACGACCTTCATATGAAGTGACCACCCTTTGACATCCTTGACGCCTTCGCCTGAAGATGACTTTGTAGAAAAAGTCTAAACTAGTTGCGACACTAGCAACAATAGGTGATTACCACGAAGCAGGTATTTACACCAATTTAATACAATCAACGTATTCCGGAGGCTAGCTTCTATATTGAAAATATTGATTGATAATAAATATGTTTAACTCTAGGCCTATCCATTATAAAATTAAACTGTCATAACCTAACCTAACTAACCAAACTTGCTGATACAGTAGAGTCCCGCAAACTCGACACTCGATAACCCGGCAGTCTGGATAACTCGGGCATCACCTGGCTCAGAAAATTTGTGATTTTTTGAGTCCGAGTAAAACATGAACTCAAGCCAGCTCAAGTCAAATAATTCGTAACTCGTACCAAGGATTTGTTGAACTATATCTGAGGACTTAATACTGACTTGTAATATAAATATAAATATAAATAAAAAAAGGCGGTTAAAAAGCTTAAAAACAGTATTGTTCTTATGTTTAACCTTAGTTCCTGATAACCCGGCATTTCACAAACTCGGCACCCTGCCAGTCCACATTACACCGAGTTTGCAGGACTCTACTGTAATAAAATAATTACCCCCGCCGCAGCAAACCTGCAGACTAAGCGAATTTCCATTTGTCTTGAACTTCCATTGGATTTACACTAAAAATCCTCCTTAAAAATATCACATTTATTCCCTATTGAAATAAAATACAATTAGGCCTAGTTTTTAACGAGTACTTATGTTTGCTGCGACAGGGAGGGAAAAAAGTGTTTTTTGTTGTAAAATGTTAATAGTTTAGTAATAAATTAATGTAACTTATTTTCCAAATTTGATAAAAATATGTTCATAAACAAGCAAAGTACAACAGTTGACTTATTCTCCAGAAGAATAACATGGAAATTTTAAATTTACAATTTTTTAGAATTTTCTCTGTAACCATTAGGCGCATAATGACGCTTCAATATACTAAATTATTTGCTTTTTTAAGCTCTAAAAATGGTTTGGAAAAAAATTGTAAATTTTTTTGTTTTTAGGGCCAAAAATGGGAAAACCCTCTTTTTACCCCATAAAACCCCCCATTAACCCCTGTTCCCATAGTCCGATCATGCTGGTTCGCAAACTTGTTAGAATAAATGTAGATTTACACGTTAATACCAAATTTCATCAAAATCGGATCATTTTTGCTCGAGTTATCGTGCTAACAGACATAAGCCTATAGGGTTAGTAAAAAGTGTGGAGACCCCCTGTTATTTTTTTAACGGCCCATACTAGAAAAACTAAACTCGGCACACCATTATGGCATGTTATTAAGTACTTTTTGGGCACAACCGCCACTTGGTGTTCATCCCCAAAATGGGAAATTTTGGGGTAAACTAAAAAATTTCAAATACAAAGACCCATCGAGTGACCCCTCATTTTGAAGGTCCTGGTAAAAGAAAACCAACAACGCAAACTAGAGGTCTCTATCTCAGCTCAGTACAAAATGGCAGCCAATTGAAATTCTCATAAGTTCCCAAACCCAAAATGGGGGATTTTGGGGGGAAACTCAAAAATTTTTAATGATAAGCCCCATCAAGTGACCCCTCATTTTGAAGGCCATAATAAAAGAAAACTAACAACGCAAACTATAGGTCTCTATCTTAACACAGTAAAATATGGCAGCCAATTGAATATAAAAATGCAAGTTATTTCCAATTTCTAAAGATTTCAATCAGCTTCCATTTTTTACTGGATTGAGATAGAAACCTCTAGTTTGCGTTGTAAGTTTTCTTTTACCAGGACCTTCAAAATGAGGGATCACTTGATGGGGCTTATCATTTAAAACTTTTGAGTTTCCCCCAAAATCCCCCATTTTGGGTTTGGTAAGCAAGTGGCTATTATGCTTAAAAAGTACTTCATAACATGCCAAAAAGGTGTGTAGAGTTCAGTTTTCCTAGTGTGAGCCGCTACAAAATTTACAGGGGGTCTCCAGACTTGGAAAGCTGCAAGTTAAATTCAATTTCTGAGAATTTCAATTGGCTGCCATTTGTTACTGGATTGAGATAAATACCTCTAGTTTGCGTTTTTGGTTTTCTTTTACCAGGACCTTCAAAATGAGGGGTTACTCGGTAGGTCTTTGTATTTGAAATTTTTGAGTTTCCCCCAAAATCCCCCATTTTGGGGATGTAGGTACACCAAGTGACGGTTATGCCCAAAAAGTACTTCATAACATGCCATAAAGGTGTGCCGAGTTAAGTTTTTCTAGTATGGGCCGTTAAAAAAATAACAGGGGGTCTCCACACTTTTTACTAACCCTGTATATATATATATATATATATATGAATTTGAACGGATAGTGGTTTTTGCCTCTAGGGACCTCAAAAAAAAAAAAAAAATAAAAATAAATCGGTCCCGGGTCCAAGGTCTTACCATGAGTACTACGGTAATAGCTTATTCCCTATATGGGAAATTCGCTAAAAATCGGATGAATGTTTACTAAGTTAATCAATCTATAGTTGTAATTGATATTAGCATAGCCCAGTTAAGAAACTGTACCCGTAAAGCATGTAGGTAAGTTTAACTTAAATTCATAAATAAATAGGTCCTACTGTAGACTTAATTTTAAAGTAATCATACTTTAATTCTGTATGTACTAGGCCTAGAGGCCGGTAAGTTAGGAGTATGATGGCTCTGGGGAGTGGGAACTTTTGGCAGGGATCTTCTCCCTAATCCTTGTATTTCTCCTAGTATTGGGATAAGACATATCAAACCTCATATACCTCCTCTTTTTGGGATAAAGAAGTCAATGGAATAATCGCCATCCCCCTAACAACCCCTCTATTAGCGAATTTCCCTATAGGGTAAAGCAAAGCCTAGTTAAAAATAGACATTAGGCTTTGTACATTACACTAAATGTATAAATGTTTATTGAATTAAATTAACAAAATAAATAAATGTGATGTGGAAAGCGAAAAGGGACCTCTTGTCGGCGATGCAAAATTTTCAGTACGGCCAATATAAGTAATTAAGGTCAAAAATATCAAAATTCGGGTTTTTATCGATTGTTATACCTCATTTCATAGAACAGGACAGCATCAGTTAAAATATTGAATTGAAGACGTAAAAAGTCGACATAAATCATTTTGTTAGCCTCTGCACGGTCAGCGAAAAGGTACCTCTTGTCGCTCAATGTTATTTCGCCATAACGACAAGAGGTCCCATTTCTAATAGGCCTATTCACTTTATAAACAGACTTTAGTCCAAAAAATTAATTGTCCTGCATTCTAGAGGACATTTAAAGAACTACCGTACAACAAAGTTCAGTGTACAGAGAACAAAATATCGCTCAAATTTTGCGGTCCCGACAAGAGGTACCTTTTCTTAACTTATGGAGAAAAAACATAGGGCTGACAAGGGGTCCGTTTTCTGAAATGCGATTTTTACGACCTGCTTCAATAAAACAATTATATAAATTAAAACTACCGGGAGTTAAGACAAAAATTGGTTTTGACTCCAAAGAGGACATTATAAGCTTTCTTTTGATACCAAAATCATTTTTTAAATACGAAAAAAACTGTTTTTTTTATGCGTATTTGAAATTTTCAAAATGGTTTTTCTCAAAACGACCCTTTTCCAAAATAAAATTTCAAAGTCCTATAACTTTAACAAAAAAAAAAAAACGTAGATGCATGCCAAGGCGTATGAAAGAAGGTGTGTGCATAGTGACGTCAGTGCGAGTAAAACATGTTTTATTTTACCAAATCATATGTTTTCTTGTAATTTTCCAAAGACTTTCGAATGACAATCATTACGAATTAGCATTGAATATATAACACCACGAATACTAGACAAATGTTTTTTTTTCTAGTATTCGTGTATAACACTATTTAGCTATATATATAACACGAAATAATTGCGACGATATTAAGTATACATTTAGTTTTAAAATAATAGACAGTTTTCGTGTCGTGGTATGCTTAATATCATAGCAATTATTTCGTGTTAGGGCTCAATGTTCTTGTTATTTGATGCAGGTTACAAAAATGACGTTATTTAATACACATTATGGTGATATACAAACATTTTACCAACTATGCATTGAGCCCAGTGGGTGACTCATTGCCAAAGCCCCGAGCAGCCGAGCGAGGGCTAATTTTGGGGCTGGGACACCACCCGACCGTCCTAATCCTTCAGCCGCCACGAATCTTGTGTTG